GCAAAACACTGGAGTTTGCAGTTTTATCTGTATAGTACTGCCTGCACCCTGAGCGCTGCTGAAAGCTGAGACTCCCCACATAATCCTGTTTGGGTTGGGTTTGTTTTTTTTCCAATCTATTAATAGAACAAAATACTAAAATGCTTAAATACTCGTCGTGAGTAACTGGGCTGCTTTTGAACTGAAAACAAAAGCTGTCTACTGAGATGAAGGTGTTTTTTTTTTCCGTAAAGGCTAGACCTAGGTGTGTTAAACATGCGCTCCTTTCCTTTTCCTTTCATACTGCTAATCAGGACATCCCCAGCGGGACCAGTGTCTCTTCTGCCGTCACTGCTGTAAACTGTTCTGTGAGAAAATGCAGATTATGCTATTGAGCTCTTCTGTCTGTTAACATTTATTATGATAATAATAAATTATTATTATTATCAGAAGGAATAAGGAATTACTGCAGTCCTCTAAGTTTTGCGAAAATGGGGAGAGGTAGGTAAAACATGTTCACGTGGAATGCCTCCCACGGGGCAAGGCTTGGAGAAGCTGGCCAAAATTAGGTCCTGCACGCTGCGCTCAGGGGTGGCTCTGGGGTAGTGCCCATCTGCCAGAGCACCACTTTATTTTTGTCCAGCGATTATCAGGAAGGCTGTCCAGGAGGAGCTGGGGATTACGGGGCAAACGACGCAAAGCCGTAGGAAACCAGGTTTTGTTGGTTGTGTTGTAGGCAGATCAAGCTTGCTCATGTAGCTGCCAGCTCTTCTGCAGGCCTTAAAGCAGCTCTTGTCAGTTTGAAATACACTATTTTTGAATAGTCTTACTGAGCTTAGTTTTGGGTGTTTCACCAGATGCTGTCTGCTGCCAGTGACTTTGCTTTGCTTTTCAAATACCTTCTAGATGAGGAATAAACATCTGAAGTGCTGTTAATCTGGATACAAGCTGGAAACAGCTGTATTAATTTGAAATAGTTTTTGGAGGCCCTTGAATTTGAAAGAAAAAAAAACCCAGTAAATATAAAAATCTTCACCTGGTCTCCAGGATTCTCATTATTAACAAGAAAGTTTCAGGTGTTAGGGATGAGGAAAGATGACTGGATTTTCAAGGAGAGAAGGCTGGTACAGAGGAGCCTTACAGACCCTCATGTGCATGGAGTCTTATCATCCTTGCAAATGAAAAAAGATCACAAAAAAAAAAACCAAAAACCACACTAAAAGACACAGCAATCCTCTCCCTGAGCAAAAATCCCCCAAAACATTGTCTGCAATGTTGTGTAACAAAAGTGATAGTGTTATGGAAGGGGGGGAAGAGTCAAAAAGAGAAAGGGAATGCCACCCTGAGTGCAGGCAGGTTTGTGGTTGAGTTGTGTTGTCTCTGTTTCATTAGGGTGCTGCTAATTACCAACACGAAGGCACTAGTTTGAGGATTTAGGCAAGTTCCGTTGAGGTAAGCCTGGTAGAGAGTGGTGTAATGCAGAAATGTTGAGTGAGGACTAGGAAATGAGCAGGGGGGAGGGAGAGGAGCAGGGGGTCATTGGAGGATTGGGGTTCCGTAGGTGCGGTGAGAGAAGGGAGCAGGGTGCAGGTTGGAGGAGTGCTTGGGCTGTGGTAAACTGCAATTCCTGGCTATATCCTCCTGGGTAATTAAGGCATTAGGGGAGGATAAGCATGAAGTCACTTTAAACATCAGTTGCTGTACTGTGCGTGTCTGGTACTTGTTTCTTTCCCTCCCTGGGACTTATTTTACGTCAGCTTTTCTTTTTACAATACTTTTCAGTCTTTCAAGTGGAGCGCGTATTCAGCAGATGAAACGCAAACTGTTTGCCAGTTTAGTAGCGTTTCAGCTCTTCTGGTTTTGAAACCTCAAGAAGTACACAATGGAAAAAATCCTTGAAAAGCTCTACCTATGACCAAAAAGCTTTTCCCAGGATAAAAGTACGAATTCTTCCTGAAGAGTTACCGTGTTACAGTACTTGTCTTCCCTCCCGCTGCGCTTTTCCCCTGTGTCCCCCCAGAAGGTAATAGGTTTGGCTCTGGAAACTCACTTCCAATAAAGGTGGAGTGAAATTATTTGTGCTGCTTTCTGCCCAAATGAAATAAAACGTGTCAGAATGAAAATTGTACACTTCGTGTCGAGCCAAGTACTTGTACTGAAATTTGTTTTTAATTTTTTTGCAGCTGATACTTTGTTTTGCTCATACACCAATTACTCTTTTCCTCTGTGTGTGAACTTCTTGGAGAAATGCCAAGAACTGGAGACTGGGAGAGTGCCAGCTTTTATAAAGTCTTTTTGATGTCTCTGAAGTGAGAGGAATACCTGAAGTGTCTCACACGACTGTCTTCAGGGCAGAAACATCATGTGAAGTTTGCAAGTTGCTGGGTAAGGAAGGGGTTAATTGAGTGATTTCTCTTGAAAAGCGTTTTATTTGGGTTTTTAGTTATACTGTAATTTAAGCATCTTCTGTCAGGAACTCCTGATTAGTTAGTGGTTTGTTGGTGCTCTTCAGTTTAATGTTTGTCCTTCAATTTGAGGGTACTTTGAATTCTTCCTTTCTTTTACCTAAGAGACGGGAAAAAATGTCCCTCAAACTCAAAAATTTAAATAATGTGCTAATGGTATTCATTGCAATTTAGGAAATTTGAAACGATATCAGAAGGGTGTGTAGTATTTGAGGGAATATGATCGAGTTATCAATGAAAATGTAGTGCTGCCAGTTTTTTGAACAGCCCCCATCTGTGCGGACGTTCCCTGGCTTCCAGGAGTTGCACTCTGTGACTGTTAAACCAGTCGGGCTAAGGAAGGTAGATGGTGAAGTTGGAACAGTTGTAAACTCCTTGCTCAATGTATGTAGATACCACGATGACAGCGTTCTTCTGAGAGCCTCTTGCAGTTCCCAGGGAAACGTCTGACCTAGGGACTCCCGTGAGTCCGTAGGAACCCCACAGAGGAAGTGTGGGCTTCTGTTCTCTCCCCCTTATGTTTTAGCCATGCTCAATCACTTTGACTTACTGTAGTTATTTGCCATATGCTGGGAGGGGGGGAGGCACAGGTGTCTGAACTCATACTCCCTTGGATGTAAACATTCTTGTGCCTGCCAGCTCTTACAAGAGTGGAAGGACGGAAAGTCACGAGTCAGCCAGGTGCTGAGAGACTTGCCAGAGCCTTTGCGATTTGTGGCTCCAGCTCTCATCAGTGCATTTCCCCATCTGATCCTAGGAATGGGGCTCTTCCTGGATGGCTGTCCACTAGGCAGTACTTTGTGCTCCATGGTCTGAAGTTATAGGCTCATTGATAAAGGCTGAAATCCTAGGGCTTCTAGTAGTATCGTTTAGGATGAGCACTAGGACCACCAAACCTGGTCCCTGTGATGCTGGGTAGGTGGTGTACAGAGATGAAAACCTCATGGTTGAAGGACATGTGGAGAAAGGTGAGTAAAGCATATGGACAGTATTAAGGCAGCACTGGAGCATGTGTCTCTTTGGTTTTCATGTTTTGAGGATTAAGGAGAAAGTATCCAGGCTGCTACTTCTCAGCTCCTTGGGTTTCCCCATCTCCCTTTAATGTTTGCACCTTCAGCGTAAAACCTGTAGTTATAAACAAGCTGAGGCTTCAGACAGGGAGTTTGCTTTTCTTAAGAGGCATACATGGCAGTCTCAGAATCATTGACCCCTTGTGGGATCTGTGCATTGAAAATTGCTGAGCTAGGCAGTTGCTGTGGAGATCAAAGAAACTGAAGACTTTGAAAGGAGGGCAATGGAAATGCTGCTCAACTAGTGTACCAGTTAAACAGAGACTTCACTGCGCTACGCTCACCTCTGTTACTGCTCGCTTGTTTTGTCTCTACCTTCTTAACGAAGAGCTGACAGAGTAGCTTATCTTTCAGGCTTCTGCAAGCCATGTTCAATTAAATCTTTATTTAACCATCTCCTAAACAAAGCTGAAAGTATAGTGTAAGGCACTGATTCCTGCTCTGTAGGCTCTGGATTACATACAGTATGACATGGTAGCACAGCTGCTAGCAAGAAGCGGTGAAGGTTGACACTGCTCTTTTGATCCCAAAGTTTAGGACTCCTCTGTCTAAGTTACAGCAAACCGCAGGCAAAAGGGTTTGTAAAGGAAAACTGTTTGTCTTTACTCAGATGGTTATCAAAAAATACTGTGTTTCTATTATGCAGACAGTGCCTGATGAATAAAGAACTGGATACAAAGGCACAGGAAAGTGGTCTTAGGAAGTATTTAAAATGTACAGTTCTCTTTTTTAAACCATTAGCCTTGACAGTTGGTTTCAAAAATGTATTTGTGAGCAAATATAATTAATTAATCAAATGCTTGCTTTATACTGGTTTACATTAAATGTGTTTCTCCCAGTAGTGCCTCTATTTGGGAGTGTTTAGCCATGGGTAGCTGTTCTGCTTTGCTGAACTTGTAATAGGTAGCTGCATAGGTGCCATTTCTGTGATACTGTTGATGTTGACTCATTTAAGTATATTTAAAAAAACCCAAACAACTTATACACAAACCAAATACAACTCAGAGTAACATCTCCAGAGCAGATTAAAATAAAATCCAGCCAGAGTTCTGGGCTGGGAATGTGTAGATGAGCATCTCTCTGTGTGTGCATACACACACACATATTTTAAAATGCATCCTTCCACTCACGTGGCTTATGGTGATGTTTTCCTGTTTGGGCAAGGTTACATGACAGTCTGGAACTTTGTGAGTCTTGTTTCTCAGACTGATAGGATCAGAAATGCATTGAGGTATGAACACTGACTCCCCTGAGAGGTGAAGGCTTTAATTGTGCATGGAACGACCTCTGAATGAAGTAAAAACTAGAAAGTGTGTTGTTGTTTAACGTGGGAGGGAGCATAGTCTACCCGTGTTCTTTAGATAATGTCCTTTTTTATGGAATATTTGAATAATGTTGAAAGAATGAAGTATCTGACAGAGTTGTTGTATTTGTACCGTGTCATGAAAATGAGAAAATTTACATGGCCCATGTTATTTTCAGGTTTGCTGTAAACTACCTACCGTAGCTATAATGACACCAGCCCTCAGAGAGGCAGCAACAAAAGGTCATGGTATCCACTTGTCACCTTCTTTGTCCTCTAGAGCTATGGAGTCTGATACAGCTTTGTGCATGGAAAATTCCAGAGCAGTGGAAGAGAAGATAAAAGAGGACTCCATCACACAGATTACTTGCTCAGTCCTGGGGTTCCCCACTGCTGAGCCCAACCTCAGGAATGATATCTTCAGCGTGCAGCGTTTTGGTTCTCCACCATCCTCCAAGCGCTATCAGTCTGTCTTGTTAATGAGTACAAATTCTGCGTTTAGCAACAGAACCGGTAAGCAAACGAAAGAGGGAAAGCCCGACGGCTCCAGGATGAGAAATTCATTACATAATGGTGCTGACACATCGTTTGGTCGGATTAGTCATTCAGAACCTGAGGAACAGGTCAAAAGGGAAACGTTTTCAGAGACCACATCTCCAAACTTGGCAGAAACGCAGAGACTTTTGGATTCAAATGTAACTGAATCCAGTAGTGCAGAAGAAATGCAGCTTTTAAATGGGAAATGGTACAAGAAGAATGTTTTTTTGGGTAGGGCGTTGGAAGTCTGCGCTGAAACAAAAAAAGGGGATTTATTACACCAAATTCTTCACAGGCCTTCAGAAGGGATTTTGCACTGCACCCCGGAGGAGGTGTGTGCTCGCTTACTCCAGTGTGTCACTAAGCAACAAATGGAAATCAGTCGCGCCAAAAGAACTCGGAAACGTTTACAAATGCTCCTGGCAAAGCATGTTATCAAACACTGTGATCAGCAGCTGAAATGCTTCGTGAACCATCAGCTACAAGGAATGAAGGTTTTCCATGAGCCAACCAGATTTTTGAGCAGTAGCTCCCTCAGGTGCAATGAGGGTTGGCCAGAAAACAACGGAACTACTTTGGAGAGTAGTTCGGGTACGGACGTACAGAACGGAGTTGGCGTTGCACCAGGTGAAATCCGGGGCTTTGCACTTTCCACTGGAGGGCTGCTGTCTCGCGTGGAGAAGGATCTGGACTCGGATGCAACGTGTAGCAGCTCAGATGAAGATGGTGAGGAACAGACTGTAAGAACAACTGTGGAAGCGTAAGTGTTAAATTCCTGCTAGATTCATGTGCTTCATGCTTAGAAATTAAGATGGAAGGGTCTGGACCTGCAGATTCCTTCTCCTGTGAGTAACCTCACTCTGTAGATAGTCCTACTGAAATCAGCAGGACTGCCTCTGTGAGTTAGGCCGGGCAGGGGCCAGACAGAAGGTAAGAACTACTACTACTTACAGCATATAAGGCACAGGTACTTCACTAGACCGTAGAGAGCTCGATTTTCTACTGCGCTCTATCAGTTTGCATTGCATTAGTACTGCTGATTATTCAATACTCAGATGGTGCTGTACATCAGATAGTGATACCACTACTGTAAATGATTTTTTTGGCTGATGTGAAAATAACTGTAATTTTTTCCTGGAGTTATTAAGAATTAGTCACTGTTAGGATATTGAAATCCACTACCATGTGATAAAGGTGAAATTTATGATCTGCAGGTGTCAAGCCATCCAGTATTTGGGGGTTGCATATCGAAAAACTTTGGTTCTGTGAATTACAGTTTGTAAAATGTTAGTTTACTTTGGGCAAGAAATTTTAGGAAATGGTGAAAGGACGGCTGCTTTCCCTTTCCTGCAGCTGGAGAGAATGGAGTATGTCTTTAGGCTGTGCTAGTCAGGACAATGACACATGCAACAGAGCTTCACACAAGCACAGCAGCTTGGTAGGAGCTTCATGACACCTACATTTCTATTGTGTTTCCTGATCTCTTCTTACGCTCTGCTGTTAGGGAGAGTCTAGAAAGCGTTACCAGTGACACTGGTATTTGAGGAAAAATAAGTATTTGTAAACATACCTTTCTTGGTCAGTGTCTTGGACGGCTTGTTCAGAAGAAATCAAGGAAGATTCGTCTTACATTGGCAAAGAGCTGTGCCCTGTTACGTGTTCTAGCTTCAGTATAGCGTGGTTGTGTCAAATTGCTGCTGCGTGTTGTTAAACTCTGGAGGCCTGGAAAACAGCGAGGAGAGAAAGTGCAAAGTGAAAACTAGTTTTCATTGTCTTCTACATATTGTCAGAATGGTAAATATTTGAGTTTGCAAAAGAATTGTCGCTTTGTGAAATATTTTAATGGAAAAACAGCATTTTTGGCTCTTGCCAGTGGGGAAGAATCCACATTCTTCTCCTAACTGATACGTTTGAACTTCTGAGTAATTGCTCTGCTTTCAGGATCCTGATCTTGTGATTACATGTAATGAAAAGGAAAACTGATGAGAAACCCTTGATTCTCATGAAGAAGTGGGTAATGTAAAACTCGGACCGAAGTTCTGCGCAGGGGTTTTCTTTTTTCCTCTTGCCAGGGCCAGCCGAGTTTCTCACCCTGCCTGCCAGTCCTTTACCTTATTCTTCTCGTGGCTTTTGAATTCCTTGAGTAATCTTTCCACTTAAGGCTTGCTCAGGTTGTTTTGTTTGACCGAGGAAGAGATCCACAGAGGATTATTAAGTACAAAGACACCACCTTTGCTCAGGAAATCCCCAAGCCGCTGTTGCTGGCAGCTGAGGGAGTATTCTGGCGTAGCGCTGCTCCCTCCGTGCCTTCTCCCTCGTAAGACTCTGACCTTGGGCGCTGCTGAGGGGCAGGAGACAGGGTAGATCACCTGAAGTCCGACTCAGTGCGACCCTTTATTTGTGGGCTGGTTTTTTCCGCCTTTCTTTATGCTCTTGGCGCTGAACAGCAGTCAGGCAGCAGGGGTGATGAGGGGCATTAGCTGAGGATTCTCGCGCTGGCAGCATGAGAATCGCTGGTGTTGGAACTGTGCTGCCAGGGCAGCGAGCTTAGGGTTAAAGTAGTGCCTAATTGAAGCAGGAGGCTTGCCTGTGTGCAGAGGCAACGCGTGAATTAACACTGCAGTGAGGGCAGGCTGTCTCTTAGTTGAATTTATAATTATCTTCAGCTTGGGATGGTTTTCTTAATTTCTCCAACTCACCTATGGTTTGTGACTAAAAGGCAGTGCGTTCTCTTCCAGATGGCCAAGGTAAATCACCGGTGCAGCTGCTGAGAGTTGCTGTCCCTGGAGCTTTACCATTTTAAGGGCTTTAGGTTGTCTTTCACCTGGATGAAAGAAACAAAGTTACCATACATTTTTCTTTCAAAGAAGGGAAATCAACTTAGTAGAAATGCCTTTCTCTCCTCGGGAATTGACTTTTAGTGCTTTCCAGAAATGATCATGTGAGTGAGAGAATACTTGTTTCCTCACCTGTAACTTATTTTTCATAGTTAATACTTCCACTGACCTGCGAAGTCTTTTCCTCAGTGACATTCTTCATAATATTTAACTGTAGATGTTACAAGGTTCTATTAATACACTGATGAATGGGAATCAGAGACTCATGGAATGGTTTGGGTTGCAAGGGACCTTAAAGCCCATCCAGTTCTAACCCCCCTGCCATGGGCAGGGCCACCTTCCACTAGACCAGGTTGCTCCAAGCCTCATCCAGCCTGGCCTTGAACCCTGCCAGGGATGGGGCATCCACAGCTCCTCTGGGCAACCTGTCCCAGTGCCTCCCCACCCTCTCCAGGAAGAACTTCTACCTGATATCCAATCTAAACCTCTCCACTTTCAATTTAAACCCATTACCCCTTCTCCTGTCACTACAGGCCCTTGTAAAAAGTCCCCCCCAGCTTTCTGGTAGCTCCTTCAGAAGGAAGCACCTTCACTGGAAGGTGCTGTAAGGGAAAAATACATTGGTTTTGCCTATACCACTGTATATGAATTGCATTTAACTTGAGGGCATAATCATGCTAGTGGCTGGTCATTGCCATGTCTGTGGTGCTTTTTTCCCTTTTTTGGGGGAGGAGGAGGTGTCAATCCAGTGTGTGAGGAGAGAGGAACCTGCAGTTTCCGTGTTTATCTGAGAACAGTGTGTTTCCCATGAGGAGGGAGAAGTTGATTCTGGCTCCAATTCTTCACGGTAGAAAAAACCTGGAGCTATTTTTAGCATTTTGAACTGGTTTGTTATTATTATCCTGAAAAGAGTTGTGCCCAATGAGTGTTGACATAAGCTCTTCTGAGCTGTATCTCAATGCTTTGTGTCTCAAGTCAGATTGTCTCTATCCATCTATTTCAATACTCTTGTTGTTGAGTTGCAAATAGCCATTAGAAGATATTTAGACCATTGTTCATCCCTTGTGTGTTTCATAGGTGCTGTCCTCAAGGCAAGAATGGTCCTTGGTCTGCAGCTGAAGGCAGCTCTTCTAGTTGACAATTCACAGTACTTACTGAACTTCCCTAGTTCCTAAGTAATTGCTAAGCCTCATCCCATTTCAAGAGCTTAATCAAAGCACATTTGGTGCTTTGAGTATTTGCTGAGAAGAAATGTGAAAGAACAGTTGGCCCTTTTCAGGAATTCTGTCATTTTGCTACTGGTGTCAGCTTATGAATGTCTTTTACCTCCCAGTTTTCATGGAAGGTTTCTTAGGCAAAGCACCAAATTTCCATCGGTAATTTGTAGTATATTCTGGTACCATTCCAGCCTTGGGTGTAGGAAATTCCCAAGACAGTGCTCAGGGAATATGGTAATACTTCTCCCTGGTTTCTCAGAGGCAGATGTTAGGTGCTGTTCGCTAGCTCCCTTTAGGCATTAGCAGCCAAAGTGGATGAGGGACCCAAGGGGTGGTATGACAAAGCTGAGCAGACGTAATTCCTTCAGGAATTCACAACTAACATCAACCACTTGAGATGCAGCACAGAGAACAGTTCACCGGCGGAGTTTACTTGGAACTTGCTGATCCTCTTTGTGGTTCGTGAAGGTGGAAGGTAGAAATGACCACAGATTTCAAACAGGGCGAGCTGGGAGAGGAGGTGAGCTCAGGGTTTTTTCAACAGCACAGCTCTGCTCTGGGAGCTATGTATTGGATCTTACCAGGCCAGCTCCACATCCTCGGTTGCGTGTTTTGTGCGCGTTCGTGGTGTGGTTAGAAGTTCTGGTTGTTTAAGGTGTACCGTAAAGACGGCTGATGCTGAGGTCGTTCTTTGGGAAACCTTTAAAGTTGCAGCGTACAGAGGTTTTTCTTATGCACGCGCCATGTGTGTGATCTTCCAGACTCAAAAGCTGCATCGCTGGGGTTCGCCGAAGGCACAGCTGCTCGCTCCATCAAGTAGTAATGCATGTACCTAATTGATTAGGGAGAAAAGCTCCTTGCCGTAGATTTTTCTGCAAAACAAGTAGCCCTGTCTACTCAGGAAAAGTCCCTGTTTCCCCAGTCCTCCATTCCCCATCTGAATACAGTTCTTTTGCATCATTTGGTGGGATTTTTTCCTTTTGAAATATTTTCATGCTTTTCCTCTGATTTTTGAAGGACATGTTTTACTGATTATCCTCCAGCAACCTCAAGCCTGACGAAGAAGCACTGTAATATTTTTTCCATGCCCACAGGGTTTATTGTGCCTGGAAACTTTTATAATGAATGTGCAGATATAGTAAATCTTTCTCTTTCTTTTTTTTTTTCTTCCTCCCCCCCCTTAGATTGCTACTTGGAAAAGAGAGAAGGGGAAATCTGCTTTTAGTACAAATATTTGGGGGGAGGGAGCAGTAAGGCAGAGAGGATACAGGAAGGAAGAAAATATTATGACTAGTATCTCCAGATCTAATCTGTTTGTTCTGGATTATTTTCCATTTTTCCTAGCATTTTTTCTCATGGCTAATTGTGCAACATCACTGCAGCTCTGCAGGCCGCGCTAAGGGCTGGGGTTTATTGCACGCCTTTGAGCCACGTTACAAGGGGAAGCCGTTTGGTTTTGCGAGGTCAGGTCCTAATTTTCCGTTCTGAGCTGTAGTTTAGCTTCACACCTGATATGAGAACTGAATTCTGGTTTTGGGAAGGGGAGGAAGAGGCTCTGCCAGGACTAAATACTGCTCTCCATTTTTCTTAAGCACAAAACCCCAGTTGTTCACGAGTTTTAAGAACTTTTTAGTTTACAAGTGTGGGAAATGTCTTATTTGCATAGAAGATTAATGTGAGGGCTTTTGAATAAGTATATGATCATA